TTGAGTGTCCTTTTTCCAAATTTTACAGTGTCAATGTACTTTACCCTAATATTTATAAAGATGGAGAACATGACATAAAATAATGTACCCAAAAGTCTTACACCTTAAGTCATATATATCATAATTGCATATTTTTATGTGTAAAGACAATATTGTTATACTTGTTAATTGATTTTAAATTACAAAACTAATCTGATTTTCATTCATTTGAATTTAACAATATGCCCCAATTCAATTATATATCACACTACAAAATCGTTGCTTAATGGAGAGAGATTTTATTGTCAATGACATTAATAAAAGGGTAAAGTGTAAAAAATCTCCCTGAATTGTGGACCAAAATGTAATAAATCTCCCTGAACTAAAAATAAAAAAATAAAAAAAAATGCAATTAACCCCTTGAACTATTGTATTTCGTTGCAATTTACCTATTTTGGTCACCGGCAAAATTTTTTTGACCGTAATCAGGTACGTGTAAGCCACTTTTTTTCTAAATGCCCATTTTATCCTTGTCATATAAAAATACTAAAAAACCCTTGTTACCCAAATCCATTACCCTAATTTGTATTTGTGTCTATATATATATATGGATATATGGATTTTGATCTCTCTCTTTCTCTCATCTCTGTCCCTCCGATCACGATATCTGTCTCTGTCCCTCTCGATCACAATCTCTGTTAAATGTATAAATAAAACAAAATTTCCAAAGTTGATGATACTTTCCTTTTCTTTTTTTTTCAAATTGAAGAGTTTACCAAATTGAATCCCCAATCAATCATCGGATGTTGAAATCCTATCCCTACCAAATCACCATCTCTATTTGGAATGTTTGAAACAATTGAATGTGGAGAACATAAAACAAAATTTTTCAAATTGATGATACTTTCTAATTTTTTTTTTTTCCAAATTGAACCCCAAATCAGTCCTCGAAAGTTCAAGTTCTAATCAGCAATCTCATTTCCGTTCTAGATCTACTGATACATTAACAACACTGAGAATACATCCCTCGCGATGTGGTCCAGGCCGTCGTCAATGACCACCATGTAAATCAGCTACCAATTGGTGCAAAGACAAGGTAGAGGATTTGATCGTTGTCTTCGTTGTAATGGACTGGTTGGGTAAGAACCGAGGAGGGTTCGGCGTCTCTTGACGCCGAATAGGGTTTTAGAGGCCGAGAGAGAGGTGTTGTTCGGTGAGACACGTAGTCAATCAATATGTTGAAGGTGCGATTGGAAGTGCAAAATCAGAAGCCTGAGATCGTTGGCACCGTGACAGCGAGGAGAGAGATTAAGGTTAGAGATAGAAAAGTTACGGAAAAACCCATTTTTGTGGCTCTCAAGGTTTGGTTCTTGAGTTAGCGGGGTGTTGTGAGAAGAAGGAAAATGGAGAGGGAGTCGGGTCGGAGGGGGTTGGGGGCGGCTGTGAACCGTGGAGGTGGTTAGGGAAGAAGAATTTGTGGGAGAGGATTGGGTTCAATTTAGGCGTAATAAAACTTAATAAAACTACGTCGTTCTGTATAAGGGCATTAATATCATTTAACATTTCCGATGAGGGAGTTTGCCCGGAAAAGTTACTGTTGTCCTTAATTGTAAAAAATTGATAGTTTAAGGAAATTTTTTATAATTCAGGGGGTTAGTCGCAAAAAGTCGCAAAAGGTCCATAGTTCAAAGGAATTTTTTATACTTCATCCTTAATATAATAACAAATTGTCATAAATAATAAAAAATGTGTGCAAGAGTAAGTGTAACAAAGGGGATCCAAGTCCTCGTCATTATACATCACTACATGCCAAATTACCCAATTCACCCTTGCAGCTAGTAGCATCCAAACTTGGTATCAAAATTAATACGAGTTCAATCTTTTTGATAAGTTACCATTACTACCCTTGTTTTAACAGTTAAATATCCCCTTCCTATGACATGCATTTAAGAAGGGATCGTCACCCTTCAATTAAACTCTTTAGTGATTATTATTATTATTATTATTATTTTGTTAGCGTAGCGGAACTCTTGAGCAAAAAGTTGAGTTGATACTTAAAAGGATATGGATTTCCTCCCTTATATATATTAAAAGAGGGCCTGCATCAAAATGATGTTTCCATTTACATGCATGCAATAAAAACACACTATGTTGAAGACACATGCCGGACAAGTACCAATTACATGGAAAATGCCTTTTAAAAAAATTTACATTGAAAACATATCTTTATATTGAGAATATATGCAACATTATTTTGATCCACATGCTACATGCAAAGTCCATTATATTCAAAATGCAATATAAGAGACACCCATTTTCGAGAACGTGTAATATTAACTATATTTTTAAAAGATACTAATTTAGAAGGTACAAATTTTCTTTGTTAAATACAACGTCGAACGTCGAACCTTTATGGAGATATAATATATTAAACCGTGATATGTTTATTTTGAGTTTCAAAAAATAATAATATCAATTATATTGAGAATGCAACATTTGGTGATCTGATGCAATGAAAATCAGTGAGTGTGGGATTCTTTGTTTTGAAAGGTAGTGAGTATGGGAGAATTTTTTTTTTTTTTTTTGAAAGGTAGTGAGTGTAGGATTTTTGAGGTAAGGTATTGGTTCTGTATTAGTCGGTTTCAAATAATTTTTTGTTTAAGCAAAAAATAAAAATATAATAATAATAATCAAAATAAATAAATAATAATAATAAATAAATAAACAACAACAACAGCAACAGCAACAACTGCAAAGTTTAAGTCACATCATATTGATATTTATTTACTACAAAAACTTTCAGATAACAATAATATATGATTTTTTTTTTTTTTTGAAAGGTACAATAATATATGATGGGCTACTTAGATTAGTCCAAAAATAAATTCACTCATCGTAGAAATGTATGTTGGGCTAGAGTGCGAGGATATGGAGTTTGCCTGTACTAACCTAGGGTAAAACTTTTATAACCGTCATTCATCCAAAATGATACTTAGTCAGACTATTATTATGGGATGGGACTTAGTCACACTCTAGTCACACTATCATTGTGCAACAGTATGGCCAAATTAATTGACTGAATCATGTCAAAAGAATGACTAATGGGTACATCCAGTGTAAGACTACTTGGGTACATTAATTTTTTATGTGTCATGTTCTCCATCTTTATAAATATTAATTTAAATCCATACTCACGCAAATGGTGCAAGACAGTATTTTAGACATAATTCACTCAATTGATTTGTCCATGTTTATTTATTTATTTATTTATTTTAATTTTATTGGTAAGAAATACACATTATTTACACAATTACTTTGTTTCTTCAAAAAGTCAAATCCTTACAATTCACTTTAAGAATTAAAAAAAATATCACTGAATTGCATATTTTTTTTTAAAAAAACACCATGTCTAATAAACCTCCATGATGTCCTTGTTGCGTGCCTATAAAGTCTTAATCTTAGTTTATACGTTGAATAAGAATTACTTAAATAATAAATTTTACACAAAAAAAAATAAAAAAGATAAAGTGCATAAAACTCTCTTGAATTATCAGCCAATTTCATAAAACTCCTTAAACTAAGAGCTATTCCTCTACTAAAGGCCAGTGACCTAGCGGTATCAACCTCTTATTTCCCAAAAAGAGGTCAGGGTTTCAAATCTCAGAAGGAACATGTGTGTGTGAGTACCAACTAGGAAAAAAAAAAGAATTACTCTTAAACTATAAACAAATTTCACTTCAAGGTCAAAATTTGCTTTCACCAAAGGTCGCCGAAAATGTCAGATTACAGAATTGCCCTTTAGTAAAACACTTGTTTTATTATTTTAGTACTATTATTGCTCACGTGTCAAATGCAATGTGAACATCCAATAGTATTCCGATAGCACATCACCTTATCATATTAATTATTTAACATTATTGCCAAAATAGCCTAATTTAGTGACAAGCACATCCTTGCACTATTGCATATACATAAACTCTCCCTACGTTGTCATTATCCCACAACCGATTATATTGCCGACCAATCGTTTATTAGAAATAGTGGCTTAGATACACACACAACACTATAATATTTGGAAGAGAATAAAATAGAGAAAAATACTTTTATTTCACTTGATTAAAAATAAGTAAAATACATGAGATTGTATGGACTTCAAAACATACATGTAACAACTATATTTAAATGAAAATTAAAAAGGGCAAAAATGGTATAATATTATTTTTATTCCAAATCTCATTTCAAATCCGACTTTAAATCTAAGTTATTCCAAACATATAAATGGAATTTCATTCCAATTCCAATTTCAATTCCTATTCCTATTCCTATTCCTATTCCTTTTCCAAATTCCAAAATAATTGGTTTCAAACAAAGCCTCCTTAGTGTTTGATGAAGCAGTATGGAAAGCAACACAAATATTATATATATATATATATACAATTTTTACCTCTACTAGAAAAAAAATCAAATTTTAACTTGGATTAAAACTACTAACAAGACTGCATACTTGTAATTCTCTCCAAACCTGCAATTTGTCTACCATCAACCTTGACAATAAAAAATTTCCACCATCTAAAAGTACTTTTTTTCAAAAGAAAACGGCATCAATGTCCTCTTCAAATTGATACTATATATTTTTGAATAAATAATATTTTTTCTGTCTTAAAATAAATATCTTTTTTTGAAAGAGGCACATTTCTCCATTATAAATATTCTTTTTAAAATAAAGGTAGTATATTTTTTATATTCCTTAGACATTTGGGAGGAGCCCATTGGACCATGGTCACATGGTGCCGAGGGACCCAACTCCAGCATTTGATCAATTGCCCATTTTCTACAAGTGGGTCCCAAATCAAGCGTATTTTCTGTGTACTTTTTTTAATTTTTTGTTATCAACGGATATATAAGAAGCTTCTATTAAGTGAATTGTGTCATCCAACGCGTGACAATTAACAAGTAGTTAAAGACTTAAATAATGTACATTTGATGTGAGAATATATTAACACCTTATGGTACGCGTAAAAGCAATGCTCTAAACACATCTTCCTGGAAGATCCCTCTCTCTATATATAGCTCTAAAGTTCGATCTCTCAACTTCACAACATTCACCTCCTTCACAAATCTAGCAATAATTCTAAGCATCTCTACAAGAATTTCCTATTTTGCTTAGTATTTCTAAAACCCATCAATGGCAGAGAAGGATCAACAAGTCTATCCCTTGCCTATATCAGGCAACACTAAAGCCAAGCACGACGAAGAGGCCGGCACAGTGCTGTCCAAAGAGCTTCGTCGCAAGAAACGCATGAAATGCTTGGCTTATGTTGTTGCCTTTGCCGTGTTCCAAACCGGTATTATATTGCTATTTGCACTCACCGTCATGAAAATCAAAACTCCCAAGTTCCGAGTTAGGTCTGCTACATTTGACAGCTTTAATGTTGTGACAACAACTAGTCCTCCTTCATTTGACATCAAGATGAATGCTGAACTTGTCGTCAAGAATACAAACTTTGGTCACTATAAATTCGACAGCAGCACCATTTACTTCTTCTATAAGGGTACAGAAGTTGGGAGTGCCTTTGTTTATAATGCACGCGCGAGAGCTCGATCCACCAAGAAATTCAATGTTGTGGTGGACCTGACTTCAACCAATTTACCAAGCAATTCGGGGTTAGGCAACGATTTCAATTCTGGGGTTTTGGAGCTGAGCAGCCAATCGGAATTGAAAGGCAAGGTGGAGTTGATGAAGGTGATGAAGAAGAAGAAGTCCACGGAAATGAGTTGCACTTTGACCTTAAGTTTGGCGGACAAGGCTATCAGAGATTTAAATTGCAGATGAAACTTGAATTCTACGTGTTCTTGGGCTAATTTAGTGCTTGGCTTTCCTTAGAACTACTGTGATCATGTAAATTAATATTGGGTATAAGACCCAAGGTGTAACTTTGTGGATATTCATTTTATTTATTTATTGTTTTTAATATCTTTTATATATATTCTTTATATAAATATGTGTCCCCTCTCTCTTGGAAAGATTGAAGGCTTTACATCATTTTGACTCTGTTTGGTTTGTGAGCCACCAGATCGTGAGTAAAAAGGAAAAAAAAAATATATATATATATATATATATATATGTTTAAAAGGGGAATTTTTTTTTTAAATAACAACAATGTCAACTTTGGTGAGTGTAAACATGGCTCGATCTAAGAGCCTTTATTATAGGCCCTGTGCATGAGTCAATATTAATGGGCAAAGATGGACTCAGGAAATTGTGTGATATATTATTCAAAAAAGGAAAAATAATTAGTGTATAATACTTTAAAAAATCAGTGGGGCAACCATATAGGTCGACCATGCCTTTAAATGGGACCTGGTCTTTTCTGCATGAGCAGTTACACATTTTTATAATCACAACCATGCTGAGGTTTGAGTGAACTAACCACGTAGCCAAATACAAAGCACAAATGCTGCAAGAAATCGATCGTTCCTCAATAATCATTTTTACCTCATTTATTTAATAATGAAGTGCTCTTTTTCCTAACGTTAGATTATATATTACTATAATATCTCTTACCTATCACCTAAGGTTTCTTGCACATCTGCACCTACATAGTCACCATGTTTAGATGACTTCAACATCACTTGCATACTCTCAAATCTTCTCCTATATATAAGACTTTTATTTACTCTTCATTCAATGTAATACAATATTCATTTATATATTTTTTAACATGGTATCAGTATCTATCGATTAATAGTCTTATCAGTTTATCGTAATAACCGCCAAGGATAGAACCATCAGCCTCGTCCTCGATGACGATCAACCTTCAAACTCACGCTCATGCACACACTGTCAGGAAGTTCCACCATCTAGGGTGGGAGTTCTACCATAGGTGGACTTATCAAAATCCCACTATAATCTCCACTGACATCTTTGGTGGGTGGACAGCACCACCATCTTCGGTGGGAGTCCCACCACGATAGACAAATCAAGCACCGGAGATTGCGGAGGAAATCAACATCTTCCTCTTCAGAAACCACCAATCCTGTGATGGCCAGCCTGAGGGCAATCAACAATAGTGCCACCTTAGCAACAGTCTCAGCTGCCTACTTGGTCAATTGCTATTGATGATGGATTTTACGCAATCCAGATCTGATTTGACTTCCTGAATAAAGAGAAGAAAAAATGATCTTACAAACATCAGTGTGTTACCGGTGGAGTAGGCTCCGACGAATAAGTCAGTATGAGAAGTAATCTCTCTGGAGAAATCAAGAAATTGAATTAGGATTTATTGCGTACCTCTAAACGTCGATTATCCCCCTCTATTTATAGGGCTTAGGTCAGAATGTTACGTAGAGTTCCCGTCGTTTTAATCCTTATCGTAATCTGTAGGCCTAATCCTTATCGTATTCTGTAATCCTTATTCGTAATCTGTAATCTTTATCTTAGTCTGTAATCCTTATCTTAGTTTGTAAAGACTATCTCAATCTTATGAGATAGCGCATTACTTTAACAATCTTCCTCTATCCACGGGTATTTAAATTATACATCCATCAATTGCCCCTCGTTTCGGAGGATTGCTTGTCAAATCACTGGAACGTTAATTCCCAAATGTTACATAATAACAGATAGTTAGAATTGTAGAACCATTCACCCCGTCTTTCTACAATAAGTTGGTTTGATTATGAGATAATAGAGCCTTATCCATTAACCTGACTCAGAATTTTTATTTTTTATTTTTATTTTTTTAGGACCGTAGTTGCCTTTGAAATATTTGTTGTAGTGTGATAAGCGCTGAAAAGTACACATTTAAACCCCTTAAGCTTGAGTATTCTAGGACCTTTATCTATCTTATTTACCCGTTTTAGTACTTATTTGTGTTTTTGTCTATTTCAGGTCAATAATGTTAAAATGGGCTAAAAATGAGTTCTTAAGGCCTTTTTGGAGTCAAACTAAGTCTTAGTGATGATCCGGAGCAAAAAGAGGCTGATTTGGAGCAAAAAGAAGCTGATACTGAAAAGCTGAAAAGTTGGATGGATCGCAGAAAAAGTTGGATCGATCGAACTTTTAGTTGGATCGATCAGAAAAGTTGGATCGATCGAAAAATAAGTTGGATCGATCAAAAAAGTTGGATCGATCGAAAATAAGTTGGATCAATCGAACTGGACATGCTGGCAGCAAGCTGTCACTTTTTCCGTGCGCGCCCAAAAGTTCACCTACCAAAAAGTTGCGGGATTAAATATTTTTGGGCATAGATTCTAGACTTAGTGACTAAGAAAATGATCTTCTATATAAAGGGAAGCAACCCATTTGTAAAAGAGGATTCTTTAGGCTTTTTATCATTTTATTTTCTACATTATAATTTTTATTTCTCTCTCTAGAAAAGTTAGAGATTAGGGTTAGAAGAAAAGAGAGAAGTGGAGGCACATCTCAAGAACACATCTCTAAATCCACTATCTCTCCATCTCTAGAGCTTCAAAGAAGAAGAAGAGGAAGAAGAAGATGGAGCCATGTTTGGAGCTTGATTCCATGACTACATCCACCTCCTCCATGATTGACTAGATCTACACTTAGGGCTTGGATGAGCCCTAAGTCTTGTGTAATCTAAACCCTTGTATTTCTATTTTTGGGGATTTATACATATATTGTTGTGATTAGTGTTCTAACCTTGTGAATTTCATGAATCTTGGTATATTTCTATGATTTCCATGGTCTAATTCTTCCTATTAATTCTCTAGTTTATTTACATGTCTATGTGTGATTAAATTAGGAATTATGTCTCACATGATTCATATGGGTTAATTCTTCCATTGATTCTCTATTTTAATTACATGTTGTCTTATGTGTGATTATTTGGGGAATTGATCTCTACACTAGTTTTTCTATATTAATTGCATGTCTATGTGTGGTTGATTGAGAATCTAGTGATGGCTAGACATTAGTGCTTAATGGAATGCTCTTGTTATGTCTCTTGATGGTTCATACTTATTCCTTGATGGATTGTACCTCTCCCTTAGTTTATTTTCATGCTAGTAGTGTAGTTGTAGTGTAGTGTTAGATGGGAAGACAATTCATGCTTGTTCTTTGATGTTCCATGTTTTTGAATGCAAGAAGCATATGCTCTAGTATTGTGGTGTAATGGAATTTTGAGCTTAATGAAGGATTAATGACTAGTTATGATATATTGTATCTTTCACATGTGTTTAGACAATTTATTCCTCTCCCAATAGATATATTGTGGCCTCTCACATGATGTTTAGACAATACATGTTTAACTAAGTCATCCTTGAGAATTATTTGGACTATGAGCTTAATGAAAGGTTTAATGACTTGATTTGATATTTTGTTCTCTTCACATGTTGTCTAGACAATATATTCCTCTTCCAATAGATATATTGTGGCCTTTCATATGTTGTTTAGACATTATACACTTGTTGAGTCACCTTTGCTAGTCGAACAATTTTGTTCACAACAATGTATTCCCCATTAATGGAAAGCAAGTGGTTAATTACATGAGCTTAGTGGTGATTCCAACACCCTAAGTCCTCTCTTCTCATCTCTTAAATCCCTATCTCTACTTAGTTTTATTTTTATTGCATTTTAATTAATTCTTTTCTAGAAATAATTAACCAACCCAACTCTCTTTTGCAATCATTTGGTACGCTAGAGTCGAAGTTGAAATTCCAACACGTATAATCCCTTGGGACGATCCCTACTCACTCTTGCTACGTTAGTAGTGGTGTTGGTAGTGGTTTTTATAAATTTAAATTTGACATAAAAGGCTTTTCTTGAACCACACATTCACTACATTTAGTTTGGCGTATTGGAACGGCCGTCGTCAGATTTTGGCGCCGTTGTCGGGGATTAACGGTTTTGTTGGAATTAAACTAGACAATAGTGTTCATTAGATTGCTTCTATTTTTATTTTATTTTCCATTGTATATTCTTTTCTCTTGATTCTCATTATTATTTGTTCAATTAGGTACTTGACTACAAGGAAGGCGAATTTTGGAACTTAAAGCAATCATTGGAGCTTAAAAGCTAAATTTGGAGTTGAAGTGCTAAAGGACCATTGTAAGCAATTCTTGGCACTCTTGTATTTTAATTGTTTCACTTCTTTGTATGCTTGTGATAGCCCTTGTTGAGGCTCATTTTATTGCTAAATTTTTATCCAAGCATAGGCCCTTGTTGAGGCCAATTTTTTGTTGCATTTGGGTTTTAATTGTGAATGAAGGAATTGTTTGATCCAAGTTTGGGGGGGAATTACATCCCTTCACCTTATGCTCCTCCATCACATTTTAATCCTTATGAGATTGAGTCCAATTCATTTCATGCATCATCTTATTATGGACTTGATCACTCATTTAATCCTTCTTATGACTATTGCCCTCCACCACCATTTTATGATGAATCAATTCCACCACCTTCTAAGTACTCACCCAGATTTGAAGAAAAAGTGTTAGCTTTACTTGATGTGCATATTTCACACACTTCACTTATTAATTCTCATTCTCAAACTTTAGCCAACTTAGAAGCTCAAGTTGAGCAAATTGCAAGTATTCTTTCTCATCAAGAGGAAGAGGAAGAGGCAAATGAAAAAATGGCAAGAACTTTAATGTATATAGATAAGGATAATGAGAGTGAGGAGAATGAAACAAGTGAGCTAATGCCTAGCACTCTATCTTGTATAGAGGAGGAAGTGGCAAGTGAGTTAGTGGCTAATCCAATAGAACATAACATGATTAATGAGGACTTTCCTTATTTTGATTATGATTTATCTCGGAGATGGCTACTCTAGAGAGTGAGGAGATGTTGACCACACTTGAGGTAGGAGAGAATGAGGAGGAACTTGTTGAAGGTGGCCTTCCTTCTATTATCTCTAATGACCCTCTTGAGGAGTGTCTTTTGGAAATGTATAAAAATTGTGGTTTTGACTTTAAAAGCTCTAAAAATGAAATAAACTCTCTAATGGACTCCTTAGCTTATTTAGAAGGTGAGGAAATGGTAA